TATATATATATATATATCCTTATTTATCTATTTCTTTACCATTTAGTCAAACATCTTGTAAAGTCTATACACAGTGTGAGCTTATGATGCAGATGATAAACAATTTAATAACGTTGAGACGAATTTGGCCAGCGGACAGGTCAGAAATTATCTGGGGCGAGATGATTCCACTCATTTCTTACATAAGGTCAGTATAATGCATTGAATAGCAGCACATTCATGGGGCAAGGAGGTATGGTTTTGAGTCATTAGGTAATAATAACCTGGGCTATATAGATGTGGCACAAAGGCAAGGTCAGCATAAGTTTCAAAAGCAAGCAAATCCTGATGTTAAATTTTTAGCCATATGTTCAGGACATCAGTGATGCCAGAGCCAATAACTGCCTATAATCTACATGCAGAGAGTGGGCGCTAATCTGTTAATCTTTACGCACTAACCAAGGTAGCATGATTCACAAAATCCTCCAGTCAGATTAATATGCTTTGGCGTCAATTTCTGAATTTAAAAATGTTTTTCATCATGCTCTGTGCATTTCTCTGCATTTGAAGTTACGTAAAGTTGCCCTTTGAGGCAGAAGCCGTGCAATTTTCATCAATGTGTGCATTGAATAAACTCTCTTGCTGTGTGAACATTCACCTCTTTGTATATCATCCAGCTGAGGCTCTTAGACGCAAAAGCAACGCAGCCATGCATCTTCATTTCATGCGTACATACGCAACTCTCCCCCTCCCTTTCACACACACAAACACACAAACACATCCTTTCTCTCTCCTCTCTGCTGTCTTACACTTTCTCTTCTGCATCTAGACACACGTGCAAACGCATTTACTCTATGGATGACACACACACACACACATACACTCAGCCTGCCAGGCTTGGGAGCATCAAGGCCTAATCTAGGTCATAGCATAAGCCCAGAGGTATCCTGTCTCCACAAACACACACGCGTTTCTAAATTTGCAAGCAAAATCACGTCTTGGATACAAAGTCCATTTCGACTCGACTCATTTTTCTTCTGCTAACAGTGAAAAGCGTTTGATTCTCATTTTGACAACAGACACACTGCTTCCCAGGAAAAAGAAGACTATAAATGAAAATCAGGGAATTTCATCTTTCCCAAAAGTCCCCGCCCTGCCAAACAACCTTGTGGGTTATGTGACTCAGTCTAATGGCTCTTATGATTGTCACAAGGTCATCATTTCCATGATTAAGTGCACTCCCTTCCGCAGTTAATATCCATTTAAAAAACACTTTCCCACTGAAGCCTAAATCTATTTTTCGGTGTGCAATCTGCTTCAATAAAGACCTGTATGTTCCTGCATGCAGCTGCATTATATTTGCATCCTTGCTGCAGAAGCACCATAGGATCCCTTTGATATGACTTAGCCTGACAGCGTACCATCCAAGATGCGACCGTGTGTGTCACAGCACAGAAATAGAGGAGCTTATTTCTTTACATCAGTCTCCAGCCTGCTATAAATATTCCAAAGCTCTCTGTTCTCTCTTTCTTTTTTTTCCTGCTGCTTTCTCTGTTCCCTCCTCCTTCCTTCGCCCTTTCTCCCCCCTCTCTCTGTTTGTCCATTTTTTTCCCCCCTACACACTCTGCCTCCCACATCTTCTCTTTTCCCTCTGCTCCTGTTGTATATAATGTAGAGAAATGTGTCTCGTCTGTCTAGAAAGAGGCAGATTGGGTAAAGCGGGAGCAAAAACACTCATGTGCTTCAGTAGAATCTGAGCCTATAAGATTTATTTCCCCCCACATCTGACATTCCTGCAGGGCTATTTAGTAAGCTGGCAGTGATTTTATCATGTCACATATAGAAATCACCTCCTCCTTCCCTTCGTTACTTTCCTAGCCCACAGATTTCCTGCAATCAAGTACAGCATGACGGTTAATCACAGCCATTAATCCCAACTACGACTGCTCAGATGCTTGATTCAAAAACCCTAAACATTTACAAGAAAAAGAGGCCAAGCTGATTTTGCCTAACGCAACTGCCAGTTAGATGCTGCTGTGCCCAAAATGTGAGCGCACAGTGCCATGCTCCCTAACCTATCAGTGTGGGAAGTAAGCGTGCCACCTATGAAGTCAGCTGTCCCCAACCCCCACCCTGAACACATGTTCAACATCCTCTGGGCACAGGCTGAGCAGAGCACTGAGACACAGCTGAGAATTAGAGAGAGGGAGAGAGAGAGAGAGGGCAGTGAAGTGGAAATATGGGTGAGCATCAGAGAAAGACAGAAATAGAGCGATAAAGCAGTGAATTAGGCGGAGGCAGAGAGAGGAGGAGGAGAAATGCGAGGAGAGTCTGTCACTGAGGCGGCGATGCTTCGTGCAGACAAGGTTATTTTCTCATAGCAGAAAGCTCTCGTCGTGTGTGGATGTGAGAACCCCATGGATTTTCCCCCGTCTGAGTCTCAGTGGGATTCATTGCATCCGGATGCGAAATAACTGCAGACGGAGGATGCGACCGGTGGCTGGATGCTAGGATCCATGTGGGCCTGTGACGCCTGCACTCCTCTCTGTGGCTACCTTCTTCATCATAAGGATGGCTCCAGCAGCACTGACCCAGATTGTGGAGTCCTGGCTCTTCGCCGTGCACCGCCCCTCCGGTGGTCTTTGAATGTGATGCGCACGAGGAATGCTCTACACCTCGGCGGAGACCGCTCAACCTGCCACCTCTGCTGACATCTGTCTCCGTGGATACACGCAGCCACTGCCAGGGTAAGGATGCCGTGCTCTGACATGCACGCTCAAATGTCAGGCTGATGGGTTTTGTATGTGCACGTGCCTGTGTGTTGCATGAATACATTACAAATCACTATGACCACGTCCATCCAATTTCTATTTTCTCACACGCGTGCCTGCTCCCTCTTGGACACAGAAATTGGGGGTGGGGGGGATATATGGAGTTCCTTTTAGAGGCTTCAAACAGTACCATGGCGTGACTGTGAAGATGAACTGATGCCATATTGTGTGCATGCACTATGCAGAATAGCTCCATGTATAATGCATGACCTAGGAGATATCATGGTGAGCAACAAGTAACTGCGCTTTCCCCAAAGTACTGAGGAAAGTAGGTTAGGATAGGACAGGCTGAGAAGACCTGAATAAAACATTTATTAAAGTCTTCTTGGTTTCTGAAAGCATTTGGCTTCGTCCTGCTTGGAGGGGAAATGGACACAAGGAAAATGTGTCCCTGGGGAAGATAAAGCAATATGATTCAGCTGGATCCCATCTGAGCCTGTCTGATGAAGACACATTCGACCATAGTCACTTCCTCCTCAGTCTAGTCAGTACAGTTCAGTTCAGGTCATTTTAGTTCATCTAATTTTTACTTAATCCAGCAACCTTACAGAAGTCAATAACACACATCACAGATCAGGACATCTCCAACCACAAGATAGTAGTGGGTGCTACTTAACCAGAGGTCAGACATTTTGACTAGATGTTAGACAGGCAATAGGTGAGCAAAGAGCATCTCATTCAGTAAATACACGTCATGTGATGGGGAGCGGAGGATGCTGACTTTAGTCCTGTCATTGCGATGCCATAGTTTGCATATTTTCCATTTGATGCTGATTTAGTAGCTTGAGAAAGCCAGTTTTAATTTGGGTTTATTTAACTGAATGAAGTTTGAATATATCACAGGAGATTGTAAATCTGCTGAGCGTAAGCTTGTTTTATATGTATCGCTCATCATGTTACCAGTATCAGGTTTCACATGTAGGGTTATGCTGGAAATGAACTAGTTTGTACGAGGTGTTGTCCGACCCCATCGGATATCAGAAGTGTTCATCGTTGTTCCGAACTGCTACATTCATAGGTGGAGTGAAAAGCCAGCCGTCATAGAGAGGGGAGGACAAGACACCGTATGGGGATTATGGCGCACATTTTCAGACGGACATTCATAGTGTTGCACTCAGTTATTCACGTGCCAAGTGACAGAAACAGTTGTGTTAAGACTGAAACAAAGAGCTAGCAAGAGAAGTTCAAACCTCGGGCAACTTTTTCAGCTCCTCACAGCTGGCCAATCACCCTGTGAATTGGGTGTGAATGTCGGCTTCAGTAAGTTGCAGAAACCCATTGGGAGCGTGTGACCATCCCAAAAGGACCAATTGCTTGGCCCCCAGAAGTTCTGCTTGCAGCATCGTCAAGAACCGCGGTATGGCTGCTTGCACCCGCCACGTGTGAAGTCGATGGGATGACAGTCTACAGACAGACAGACAGACAGAGATTCCTTGTTTTAAAGTTAGATGATGCTGCTACAGTCCCACCTATTGTCATAGTCACCCAGACATCATGTCGACACATGTCCACCAAATGTGGTTGCAATAGCACAAAGCTTCAAATGATATGACTTTTTTATATCAGCTCTGCCTACAGTATTTGACCTAACTTTGTGAGTCAGCCATAGCAAAAAAGTTTGGAAAAGCAGAAATTCTGAAAAGTAGCTTTTTCCAGGTTGATCTAGAAATGATCTTGATCATTTGGTGACAATTGCTCAAAATCAGTAGGAGTAGCGAAAAAAAACATATTTTAACACAATTTAAAATGGAGGACAATCTATCTGGATGCAAATGGGAATACATGGATAGATGGATAGAAAAAATGCTTTTGTTTCTGAGATTTACAGTTCAAACGTTTATTGTTAGAGCGCCACCATATGGCCAAATTGCACCAAACACTGCACGTCCTTGGGTCCGAAGCACATGCCAAGTGTGAAGGAGATCGAATGAGCAGTGGTCCAGATATGCAAAGGATATATCCACAAACCCACAGACCGACTGTGGTTCCTTGCTTTATAATTTGATGGTCGGACACAGTCCGCTCTAATTCAATATCAGAAAGGTGTGGGGGGAGGAGTTTCGGAAGTTATTAAAGGATTCTACGAGCACTTCTGAAGAAGCATACTGGCAGCTTTATACATTCACAAATACCTTGGTGAGTGAGCTTACAATTTTAGAATTTTGAGACTTAAATCCAAGATTTACGAAAATGAAAAGATTTCTTCAGTGTGCATTTAACACCTGAGTTAGATGCTCAAAGCTCACATCTGATGACATGCATCTGCATGTCAAGTGACTGAAAACTCTGGTCCAACTTGGCATCAGATACCAATTTTGGTAATCTGTGCATGTTTGCCTTCTTAATGATGATACAATCAATGCCACATATGTCTTATTGTAGCCCTTTAAATGCCAGCAGCAACTTGACTCTAAATGTGGTCCAGATTTGTTCATTGTGTGGGTCCAAAATGTTCCCTCTCTAGTCACGTCATGTCAAACATAGCTCCACTTAAGAATGATCTCAGCATCTGGAGAAGCGGCCTACATGTCATCTCACACATCTGTTGTTAATCATTTCCATGGGGATTGATTTACAGTTTGTTTGTTTGCTTGCTTGTGTAGGTGTAGTGCTATTGACAGTAGTACAAGCAGTACCTCCAGTGGTCACCACTTAACCGACTGGTTATCAGACTTCTCATGGTGCTGTAGCTCAACAGAAATCTCCAGCATAAAGAGTTAACAGGAGAAGTGGCTTAACAGAGAGCTGAGAAAACGCTGTGATTTACAGTGAACAAAGAAAAGTGAACAACTAGGCCCTGTCCCTCATGGCAAAACAAAATGCTAAACAGAATCTAATCTGTCACATCATTGTAATTGCTCCGCTGACATGACAGTCAGTTTGAAAAATAAGGGTTTGTTAATTCTCATAATCCTGCCTCACTGCAGGAGCTATAACCTCACTTATCTCCTCAACATATGATGACACTTACGAGTCGATTGCCTCATTCAAGGGGACATCTGAGAAGTAGTATCTTAACAACAGGGCTGACCTGACCTTGATGTAGAACATTCCTTTAAACAGGAGTGGATGTAGAGTAGCTCAGGGCAAGAGGATGACCATTGTCTGTTGCTGCATCTATTCCATGTTTGGTGCATTGAAGCAGATAGTCTAATGCATTCGATTGGGCGGCTGGATGATGGCATTGTGCAGTGGCATAAAAGGGGTCGGCGGTAGCCTAAAGGTTAAAGAAAGGCTTGGACAGGGAGGGCTATTGCTGGAGTCTCCACAGTGGTCAGGAAAACATGGGTAAGTAGTGGTTAATGCGCCGTTTGAAAATCCATTGGAGAGAAGTCCTTAACCAGCAGTAATGAATCGTTTTCAAATTAACATTGGAATCAGCTTTAATGGCCAGCTCAATCGTCGCCATGTTGAGAGCCGTGTGGAGGCAATACATGTGCTCCGAATGTCGTTTTGAGCAGCTTTACAAGTTGATTGCTTTTGTGCGTACGTGTTTCTGGTGGCCAGAAACACTGTTCATTTCCTAATCTTCCTCCGTGTCTGCTTGATATGTAAACAGTCGATTGTTTGCTAGCACATAAGCTACAGTACATCAACCACCTTGGTGGTGTTGACGGTGCATACTTGTTTTGATGTTTTTCTGCTCCCACGTGGCCCAAAACTGCCAAATTGAAATGATAGCCTCAATGTTCGTTTGGCTTTTATTGTCTAGTACATGATGTATTTGGTTTGTATCTGTGAACTATAAAACCATAGCAGTGAGCTAAAAAGGTAGAGCTGCAGCGTTGGATGATAATTGTGTGTGTGTGTGTGTGTGCATGTGTGTGTGTGTGTGTGTGTGTGTGCATGTGTGTGCCACTCTGATGGACTACTTTCACATGATGTGGTTCTTGTATTAATGGTTAGTAGAAACATGTTTGATTAGTGCAAGTTTAGATTCTAATGAGCTTAGCCAATATAACAACAGGACAATTCTGTATAAAATATGAATTGTTGCTATTTTGTGGCATTAAAAAAAGAAGCATGAAACTCATAAATCAAATTTAAATGTACAACTTTCAATATTAGAATTGACCGGTTTAAGTCTGATGACAGTGTTCAGCAGGGTGGAGCTGAGAAAGAGCTGAATCATTCCCTGAATAAATAAACGTTCAAATGAATGAAACAAATCTGTAATAAATAGCTCTTCATCAAAGATCGAACTTGACTGTTCCGTAAAGACTTACTGCAGAACCAGATAAGAGACTGGGGACGACAGAATGGTAACAGCATTACAGTGAGTTAGAACCTTTCCAACATCAAGGACGCATAAAAAATAGCCTCGTGCTAAAAATATCTCATCCAAGGACTATTTGTGGAATGAAAGGAAGAGGGATGCATAAAATTTCCATGTTTACCAGATAATTTAAAACCCACTCCGATACTGCACTGAATTAAATTAATATGTTAATGACATAATGAATTCATTTATTATGTACTTATTTTGTTTATATTTGTTTCTCATTTGTTTTTGGACATTTCAGTATTTCTCCATCAGATGCAGGCGACAGGAGTAGCACTGTGACTTCGTCAAATCTATCACCTCACAGGTTGCTCGTGATCTCAGTCATTTCAGCTAAAGCATTGTTTTTGAATTAATATTATTTGTTGTTTTTTGGTTATCATCTCTGCAAACTCTGTGTTAGCAAATCCATCAGTTAAAACTTCTGAGTCCTTTTCGACATTGACAGAAGTTGTTGCAGGTATTGCAGTTTATGTGTGTGTTTTAATGCTGCACACACTTGTTGTAATATTGAACGTGTCCTTTCATGACCATGTTGGTCCACCGCTTTAGTCCAGACTATTGCCAGGACATTTTATAAAGACATTCATGGTCCCCAGAGGATGAAGCCGACTGATGTTTGTGATACCTGACT